GGTAATTTCAACATATTTAAAGTTACACCTTACAACAAAGTGGCCAGAAGTTGGTCAATAAATATCAAGCAGTGCGGCTGGTGGATTACAATACACACAGCTGACTGCATAAATACACAAGCCACAAACATACACCTACACACATATATCTAGCAATTCATTTAAATATGGCCATTTTGTGTCAATACAACAATGGCATATTAATACAGCGCATTTGTAAGATTGTATGCGTACACTAATTGGTGCACAAAATCATTCAATCAATCATTCAAAGCATCTCGTCTTAATTACGCCGGTCTTCTTACAATACACAAACAATTGTGTAAACGTTGCTTACAGTGAAGACACACATACCGACGCGAATTCGCAATCATTCCTTCATTTCGCGGTTTAATTCACTTCGTTTCCTATCAATGGACTACTACCGTTAATTTGCAGCCGGGCATTGACTTAATTCTGCATGAAAAGAAGCAAAGAGTGGCGCTCAAAAGGACTATATATAATATATACATACATATACATAAGTGTGCCCATTATTTTTTAATCTTTTTTTTTTTTTTGAAGTTTTAGTTTTTGTCTAAAACAATCCTACGTAAACAAGCTCTTTATTTTCAATTTATATTGTTCCCAAATCATATTTCTTTTTCCATGTATGCATTATGGCATATTTTTATATTTTTCATTAAGGAAATATATATAATATATCTAGAACTTTTAAAATAGGATATTCTAATAAAAAATTATTCGCTCCACAAAACTAATCTTAATAATTTGTTTCATAAACAAAGCGGCTCAGTTCATTTATTGCATAATTTTAACTGCGTTTCACTTTTAAAGGAATGTTTTTATGAAAATTCAGACCTTTTCTGAAGAGCAAGAAATTTTGTATTGGAATATCACTTTTTCAATATTGTAGATTAATTTGTTTTAGAGATAAAAAATGTATTGCAAAATATCAAAAAATTCCTTGTTAAATAAATGGGAAAAGTAAAATAAAAATAAAAAGCTTGTTTACGTTGCATAACCTTTTTTGGCAAAAAACTGAAACCTCAGGGTCTGCCAAAAAAAAAAATCTATTTAAGAAATAGCGGACACCCTAATATACGACTACATATAATGTATATATGCAAAAGATCTCTGACTAGTTATGAACGGAATATATATAAGCACTCGTACTAATCCACATCAAACTCTTGTTTCTGTTTGCAATTACGTTGCTTATAATTTCCCGTTAATTTGGCTTTAACTCAGCCGTAAGCTATTAGACTCAATTTCAACTCAACCTCGCTTTCGAAAATTCTCTCTTTGCTCTACGTTGTCTATTATTTATGATTCGCCACTTATTATGCATTGATTAACCACTTCCTTTAGTCATTTACTTTTACCTCTAGTGTTTGTTTAACTTTCGTTAAATGCGTGGGCGTTTAGTTTTCCGATGAAATTGTCAGGTGGCTTCTGTCATTTCAGCAGAAAATTGAGTTTCATTCATTTATTCTTGCTCATTTCGTTGTAATTTGTCTTTACTACATTAATCTTTCATTTGTACGTTGCTAATCAGGTTGCAACAGGAGATTGTGCTTCTTCTTCGACGTACTTCAAGGTCGAGCCTTGCGGTGTTATAGATTTTTCTCCGAGCTTAATGCAGTTTGGTTTACTCTGAAATGAATTCCTTTAGCTCATTCTTGATTATCTGCTCAATTCCAATACTTGTATACGGCATTTTGTTCTCTTACATTAAACTTTCCTTTGTTAACCAAAATTCACAATCCGGGCTTAGGTTTAATACAAGCGGGCAGAACTTTACATCCAGGTCTTACTTCGGAAGGCGGAATAAAATGATTGGCTAATCACTAGGAAAATATAAAGAGAACTGGACTATAGTGATCTTTCTGACTAAGAAACGATTTTTGTTGTAGCAAAGAACAGCGCTTCAGCAATAATATTGGTATTGCGGGCATGAGAGTTTTTATCCGGATGTAAACCTGAAACCGTTGCAATTTTGTATCCAATTCTATAAGGACCGACAGACAATGTAAAAAGGAAGCAATTTTAGACCCTCACCTAATTCTACACTCCATACTTCAACTACTCCATGACAAATTTGTTAGATTAAATAAATCTTGGTTTTTAATGAGTTTTGCAATTCAAGACCTACGATTTGAGACCCACTTCTAGACCTTTTCTACTTTAGCAAGTGACTGATTTTTTAAATTCGGGTTCATTTCGGTTTCGTAGACCAGGCTGACGTGGAAATGGCTAAGTATCCCATCCTTATCCTCGGTTGTGGATAACCGAGTATGATCGGATAACTTAAATCCGACTCCCATTCAGCGGTTCCGAAGTGAACTTTATCGTTCCCTTTTTATTATTATTATGACAAACTACGTCCCCACTTCAAAATAACTTTTTAAAAATCAGTGTTCAAAAAAAAATAAGTATATTAAAATTTTTTTATGAAATTTTCGATTCACTGATACCAAGTAACAGATATCCCAAATACCATTGTTTCCAATATTTTCAGAACAAGAAAATTGGATGTGTTTAGGAGATTGTGAAAGTTATCACCTGAAGTGCAGAACTGTTACTCCAAGAGATATTTTAAAATCAGTTTGAACGCAAAGAGAACTTCTTAGGATGTTTATTTGACACTTCTAAATATTTCCATAGTCGTCCGATAAGAACTTGGCGAAAACGAAAAATTAAAAAATATGGTGATCAATTTCACAAGATAGTTTCCTTTTAGCTCGTCAAAATTGACCCAATGATACTTCAGTTTCTTTAACTTGTCTGGCCTCCGTAATGGTGAACTTATCTTACGACTGAAATTTCTGCTCGGTCAGTGACTTTTTCAAGTTTTTTCTGCAATTCGGTGTCGAATTGATGCAAATATTTATTTGGCTTAATAGAGCGTCCGTAGCCATTACACTTCCCGCCGAAAGGATAGTTTTGGTCTTCTTCGGAGTAGGTTCGCCGAGTAAAGTCTAAAGTTTCAGCTATTACTTGATCTCTGGTTTATACCACTAAGTCCAGTTTAGTTGTCTGTGACGCAGCGACGCAGAATCTTCTTCGGATTACACTTAAACTGATTTGAAGTAGACTTAAAGTTGTAATTGTCGTCTGAAACGAACAAACGCAGTACCAGCCACCTTCGACCATCCACCATCGACAAAAGCTTCCTCATATTCAATATTTCATTTAGTATGAATATACTTATCTCAGTTATAGCACGCACTTTCAGTCGGTGGTCTACCAATATGAGGTCGTGGTTTTTGGTCACGAACAACCTCCGTTATAGTCGTTATGCCATACCCATCAATAAGCAATAAAACTACATTGAAACTCGAAATTTCTACGGTGGCCTCATGAAAAAGGTTAAGACTCACTTTCTAACATGTTTAAATCAGTCTTTAACAATATTTTACCTAAGTTATATTAAACCTATCAAAGAAATAAACAAGTCGATGAAAGTTTTGTTACACATTCGCAATAAACCACATCACTGAGAGCTTTGTTGAGTGAACACACTTTCCATAGTAATTCTAAAAGACCAGACTAGCCGATGTCCCTACACTGATTATACTAACCTACAGGATTTCAAAAGATGGCTAATAAAGAATCACAACGTAGTTACCACATAAGCAGAAAAAGAGTATAATGAAAACAAACGAAAAGAGACAACAAAGCTAACAACCGTCACAGCATTCCTTCAAATGTATTGAAAGTAGACAATCACAACGTACAAACAATTCATATTGATTAGCACGTGGCTGTCACGACGCATGTCCAGCTGACGTCGACGCTGTTTGGCCTAATGAAGCGTTAGTGCGCAGAATAATTGAAAGCTTTTGTCTGCGTACTGTTTACCAAGTAAAAGGAGGCCGCTTGTTACAAATAATGGGAGGCGGTGGAGGCTGGTCTGAAGAATGGAGTTATTCCTATATATATGCATATATTTGTGTATAAATAAGTACATATTAGGGTAAGCCAAAAAGCATCCCTCGAATTTATGAGTTAAAACCCTACATACAGAGAAAAAACTATTCCTTCAAAGCAAGATTTTTAGCATAATTCTAAAAAGTATTAATGAGCATATAAACAACTAATCAATTTTAAGTAAAAATACTATAACTTTCGAAACGTTTAGGATAAAAAAATTTTCACCGCGGATTCTTGTAAAGCATATAATTTCCCAAAAAATCTACCTCAGCTGGATTTTTATGCCCTGCACAGGGTATATTAAGCTTCCCACAAAGTTTGTTACACCCAGAAGGAAACGTCCTTCTGTATATAATACTATAGCATATAGCTCTCATACAAACTGACCGATTAAAGTAAAGTCCTTGTTTAAAAATCCTTTTTAGTTTAAAATTGGCATCGATTATTATCTAAGGCAACAATCTCCGAACAAAGTGTTCAGATCGGACCACTGTAGTATTGTATATAGCTGCCATACAAACTGACCGATCAAAATCGAGATAAAGATTTTTTTATACCCTTTTATGCTATATAAGAAATGCAGCTGTGAGGGTATTATAGCTTCGCTGTAGTTAACATTTTTCCTTGATTGCAATTCAAAAGTTCGTTAATTCTATGTATATACTTAAGTCATTTTGACCCATAAATTGAACAGGTTAGTTTTTGGCTTACCATATATATATATATGTGTTTATGCATGTATATAAGTCACATAGTGTCTATAAGTGTTACTTACACACAGTTATTTTTCCATTTGCAACAATTTGTCTATTTTCTTTTCACTTTATAGGCTAACTACGAGTTACCTATTCACGCAAAAGTACATTCAATAGGTCCAGGTTGATATGTATATATTTATGTATATACGTACACAAATAGCTGCATTCCACTTTCGCTTGGAAAATTTCTTCTTGGTCGCATTCAATCACTGTCTTTTCCTATAAATTTCTGTGTCTACTTTCGGCGACAAATGCTTTTAGACGCGTTCTAAATTCACTACTTTCGAAAAATTTGTACTTCATGCAGATTTTTCTCGAAATCTTTTATTATCTTTTTTTTATTATTGTTATTTTCTGCCAAATATGCCTACTAACCTGAATACGCTAATGTACTCGATTTTCTTACGTTTAAATTTTTACATATATTTTACGGCATTAGGTCCACTGATCCACTGTCGCGCCTCAGCCAGCTATGCATAAACTGTATTTGGTCGATTTCCAATGATGTCCGCTCACATTTTAGGTCAAATTCTCATGTTCATGTACTTGCGCCCATATTTCTTACTTACTTTGCTACGTTTTTCTTCATGTTCAGCTGCTACCTTTTTGCCTTCTCTCACTTCTTTTTACATCCAACACAGCATTTTTTTGTTGTATTCCCATTTTCCAATGCGTCCTGTCCGGTAAAATGTTTGCTATTCAAAGAACGTTTCGGCTGTCGATTCGTAAATACTTTTCACATATACATATATAGACCTACAAAGCAGTAAAAGCCAACAGAGTTTTTACCTATCTACGCGACCAATATATACATATCTATATATATACACCTGATGTCTGCCAACACAATGCGTGCTCTTACTTCATTGCACTCTGGGTTTTTTCCACCACATATACCGTTATACCGTTACAGCGCACACGCACAGCTGCTCACATACAATTCAATAACTGCTTTCGTATTCTCAGCATCAATCTATGGCGATCAATTTTTGTAATTTGTTTATTGAGATTTAATGCCGTTCACCTAGGTTTATTTGTAAGCAGTGTATTGATGTTATTATTGTTGTTTTATGTTTTTCTTTTTCGTTGCTCTGTTTCTATTTATCTGCCCAGACAGGAAATGTGTAGCAGCCATTGACTGATTTTAGTTGATTGCAAACGTGCTCTTCTAACCGTAAAAATTTCATGCTGTCCGCTTTGAAATCTGATTCGTTTGCTTTTGTTGGAATGAAACAACAGCTGTTGCTACATTGCAGATAGAAAATAAATTTGAAATGTTAACTTCATGGAAAAAAAGCACAAAAATATATAAATCTTGAAAATTGAAATTATGTGTACGCAGATTTAAAAACTCTAAATAACTAATAAAAACCAATACCGGAATCTAACGGGTGATCCAAGTAGAGATACTTTTTTCGATAGCCTTTCTTTGACAGATTACGCGTGTCAAGCTGTCATGTTATTATTGTTCAGTTTTTTCATCATGGAAAGACTTACGCCTGAAATACGTTTAAAAATAAATTTAAAACTTAACGTTCTATAAAGAATATGTTGCGCGCGCTTTGCTCAAGTTATGGTCAACGAAATCGACCTACTGAGCGTACTATTCGTAACACCATTCCCCATCTTGAGACTCAGCATTTATTATTGAATAATATTCGACCGAATAGACCACGAAGACCGTGGAGAGTCGATTCGGCCCCGTTTCTCGGACTGACGCATAGAATGTCTTAGCGCATTTTACGTCGAGATCCTAAATTAAAAACGTACAAAATAGAACTTGTACAAGAACTGAAGCTGCTCGATCTTCCCAAGCGACATCGCTTTGCTCTATAGGCAACTATTTGACGCCTGAAATTAAAGCTCGTGATCTCTGCGACAAGACGGCGTCACTTCCCACAAATCGCATCAATCAATGGATTTGTTGAGAGAACACATCGGTGAGCAGATAATTTCACATTTTGGGTCGGTCGATTGGTATTACACCATTAGACTTTTTCCTGTGAGGATATGTAAAGCCTAAAGTCTATGCGGACTATCCCGCTTCGAATCAGGCCTTGGAGTAGAACATCATTAACCAGTTACCAGCCGAAATGCTCAACCGAGTCATCGAAAATTGGACTCAATGAATGAACCATTTGAGACGTAGCCGCGGTCAATATTTGAAAAAGATAATATTCAATAAATAAATGCTAAATAAATGGCATTTTTGAAATTCGGCATATTAAATAATTCAATAACTTTTATGGATACGAAATATGTGGAATATATTTTGCCAAAACAATGTCTAAAGGAACCATTAAAAATACATATGCGAGTATAAGCGAATCAGTTTTGACAAAAAATTGAGAGATGGCTTCATCTTGTTTTCAGACATCAAGTGACTAAGCAAAAGATAAGACAAACTTTCCATGGTTCATTTTGCAAGTATTCGAAATCGATCATGGTGAAATCTGGAGGTTCGTCAAGTCCTGGTGGTGCTAAACGGGTAATTGATGGTGCTCATAGAAGCACATAGCATTTCCTAAGCGATCCAAGATGTTTGATCTACATAAGAGGCGGTTTCCGGTCGCTAGAGGTCACCATGGTGTAAAAACTATATGCACGCTTTCAAAATCGGATTGTCGCCCACCTGGTGGTACTAAGTGGATAATTGATGGTATTAACAGAGCATCTCATGTTGTGCTTATGGCTGACTTTTTACCGAAAATATCGATTAATTTGTAAGATATATTATTGAAATGTTTAGAAAATCTTTTTCTGATAACAGCATGGCATTTTATCAAAAATACATCGCCTACCTATGTTTAATACAAATATTTTCGAAACTCCGGTTGACTTCATACCAAATATATCGATCAATATGTGAGTTATCGTAATGAAATTCAGGAAGCATCTCTCTTTGATAATTTTCTGTCCTTGTATCGCAAATAATTTTAATAAGATTTGTAAAACTCCTAGCCCCCATATATCTTAGAAAGTGAATCCCAATATTCCTGTTGGCTTTAAGCAGTTTATTTAGGTCAATATGTGCGATATTTTAATGGAATTTAAACTGCTAACTTCATGTGAATGTAATCGGTTTAGACCAAACCCGTAATATATCGGTATCTGCGCCTCCAGTTACTTTTCCTCATATATTTATATACTTAAAAACTTAATTCAGCTGAGCTACCCCAGATTTGGATTCCATGCCATGAGATCGGTCTAAATATTCCTTTATGTATGAGCAGCTTATTCTTTAAACTGAGGTTGGATCTTGACCTTAGGAGCCAGCGCAGCTGAGCAAACATTAACCTACGCTGAATTTTCTTGATTTTTGCCTGTCCTTGTATCGCAAATAATTTTAATAAGATTTGTAAAACTCCTAGCCCCCATATATCTTAGAAAGTGAATCCCAATATTCCTGTTGGCTTTAAGCAGTTTATTTAGGTCAATATGTGCGATATTTTAATGGAATTTAAACTACTAACTTCATGTGAATGTAATCGGTTTAGACCAAACCCGTAATATATCGGTATCTGCGCCTCCAGTTACTTTTCCTCATATATTTATATACTTAAAAACTTAATTCAGCTGAGCTACCCCAGATTTGGATTCCATGCCATGAGATCGGTCTAAATATTCCTTTATGTATGAGCAGCTTATTCTTTAAACTGAGGTTGGATCTTGACCTTAGGAGCCAGCGCAGCTGAGCAAACATTAACCTACGCTGAATTTTCTTGATTTTTGCGTGGTGTCTTTCGATGTACACCTCCCTTCAATTGTAAGCCCCAGATATTTTGCGCTTGTGCTTGTTGGTACACTACTTTCATGGACTTTTTGGCATTGAAGCTAATGTTCCATTTGGTGAACCACAGTTGCGGAGCGATTAATTGCATTTGCAGTTTACTGGAAGAGACAGTAGGGTTGCCACTTCACAAAAAATGCAGTGTCATCCGCATATGTTGCTGTAATTGTGGAATCAGAGTTCGTCACTAAGAGGTCCCCTATGTAAAGAATGTAAAGCACAGAGGCAAGAGGCCTTGGGATACACCAGCGTACGGGTCCACACCAACCGAAGTTAATTTTTTTTCATGTTATTTAATATTGCAGTTCACTAAAAATATTATATTTCAAAATCTATTTTCGGACGTTTCCATTTAACAAATTGATTTAAACCGCTAGCATAGCCAACTAACCCGAAACCGTAGAAAAATATGAAACACAACACAAAATTATTTCACTTTTATTAAAATTAACGACAGCGTAAAATACTGCGGCAACCAGTAAAACCATTACCTCAAAATTGCATTGAAAAACAAAAGCGTCAAGAATATTATGGCAATGAAAATGTTTTCCCACGAAAATCAAAGCAAAAGCGAAGACTTTAATGAAATGTACAAAAGCAAAACCATAAAAATAAGTTGCAAACAAAAAAAACGAAAGAGTTCTTCCAAATGCTGAAGAGATTGCAAAAATTTCGAAATAATATTAGTAAATAAAAAATTTGTTCATGACATTTGCGTGGCATCAGCTGGACAAGCAAAAAGTTGCAGCCGCTTTGCTTTGGTCGCGCAGAAAACCACAGCCAAGTACGAACACGAGTGTAGAGCGGAAAGTTAAAAGAGAGTGTGTTGAGACGACAAAGAATGGAGAAATGCCATAAGTTTTGTTTGATTGCTAGTTTTTGCAAAGTGTGTCGAGTGGTTAGTATATTTTAGTGGTTTTTCGCATTTCATTTCTATAAGTATTTTAAGGAGCTTTTAGCAGGTGAAAAAATTAATTTTAGATTTCGTTTGTGACTTAAATTTCTATTTTAAATTAGCGATTATTGTTTTACTTCACTTACAAGCAAATATTTCTGTCTTGGTTTCACCATTTCACTGCTCTCCGTTTTTGAGAACGGCGCTCTAGTCAAAAATAAAATTAAAAAACTCATAAAAAGGTTTAATCGCTTTCTTCAGGGCTACCAAGTTTTGTTCTACAAATTTTAGAGATTTTTGGATTTGATTTAATATAGCTTTTTGGATTCGGTGCTCTCAAAAGCTTGGTTAATGTATGATTGTCAAATGTTCGTAAAGAGTTCGACTTCGACTCTATGTCTTAATTATTGCCGCTCTTAATTCATCGAGATTTTTGGAATCGATATTCGCTCAAGAGTTGTCAACTTGTTAACATTGGTCAAACTTATTTATAGAATATTTTTGGAAAGTAAAGGGTACAGGGTACAACAATAGTAAATAAGAAGTGATCGATCCCAACGGATTTCGATACCATCCGTCTCTTATGAATTCGCTTTTATTGAGGTTCAACTCAGGAAAGGTAACAGACGATATTATAATAATAGTTAGTGTTACTTTTAGCTTGCAAGGGTATATTAAGTGTGTCTTTCCGTCTATCTGCCTGTATATACACATAGCTTCCCAGTTTTTGGGATATCGATCTGAATGAATTGGCACGTCCTTTTCTTCTCAAGAAGCCGCGCATTTGTCGGAGGTGCAGATATCGAACCACTATAATATATAGCTGCCATACAAACTGACCAAACCAAGTCAAGTGCTTATATGGAAAACATTTTATTTCAAAATATATTTACATGACATTGACATTATTATCCAAAGTAACACTACAATCTCCAAATAAATTACTCAGAATTGACGGATTCTAATTAAGTCTTTGGATGGAAAACTTTTTTATTTCAAAAGATATCTCTACGAGATTTGACATAAACTATTATACAAATCAACGCTAAAATCTTCGAACAAATTATTCAGATCGGAGCACTTTAGCATATAGCTGCCAGACAAACTGACCGATTAAAATCAAGTTACCGAAAAAAATTGTATTTGAAAAGATATTCAATTTGTATATACATATGTACATATACACCATAATTCTCAGTACCCAATTTATACCAGCCATATTCAATACCTCTTTTTACCTTTCAATAAGTTAATTCCCTCTCCCATATTTCCGTCTGCATACCCAGCAACCATATACCTACCGCTCATAGCTCGCGAATTAATTCTCACTTAATGGTGCCTGCATTTTGCCCCAATATTTCATTTTATTTCACTTCACGACATTTCCTCTTCGCATAATCTTTTCGCTGCAATTTACTTAATGTTGAACCACGGGAACCTCCCTGAACGCCGTCGGCTACTTTGCAAGTGCGATCTTTATGCGCGGTCACTCCGTTTATAATGCATTACTACCCCTTACACTCCACTTTCTGACATAAGGCTGCAGCCAAAAAATCACGTATGGTAATTTGTGCCAGTCAGCCTCGATTTCTGCAGGTGAGTGTGACTGAAGTGGCTTGAAACAGCAGAAAGAAGGATGGTAATGGGTCTGCCGTAACAAATTTAAATATTTTAATGTTGAATATTGAACA